TTATTTCTCCTTTCCTTTCCTATTCACATGCCTTCCAAATACACGTGAGTGGATATATATAAATAAAATTAAATACCTTACCTTTAAAATTTACTGTACATTCAGGCTTTTATAGGTCCAAAGGAAAATTGATCTTATGTACAAAATATTGAACTGACGTATAAATTTAATCATTTATGTTTTCTTCAACTCTATTTCAAGTAAATTATATACATACACATAATGTAGGTTGTCCCAAAATAAATATTGTAGAAAGCATTCATTCATTATCTCTAGTCCAAACACACAACAAAATTATATACCTCTCAAATTCAAATTAGATTATATGTTAAAATAACAAAACAAATGAAATTTTCAAAATGAAACCGTCATCATGATTTATTTAGATTACATGGTCGCGATGTACATAAATTGTGAAAAATGAAAATCATTACAAAAAAGTGGTTATTAGAAAAATTGGAAAAAGCACACAAACATTTAAATGGCTAAAAAAATCTATAACCATTTTTTTTTTATGATCAAGTCTTCTAATACTTCCAAGTCTTCCCATCTTTTTGAGGAAAAACTGGAATATTAATACATTCATTTTCATATCATTTTTCATTCTTATTCAATTTCCACAGCCAAATCGTTCGAAACGCTTCAAAAAGATAAAAGTCGCTTAAGCAACAAATTAAAGGATTTTTTTTACAATTCAATTAGAGGTTTTCTAGAAATACATCTTTTAGCTTTTGAAATAAGAAAAATATCCTTTAAATTATCATTTAGACTTTTATGTTTAGTTCACATTATAACAACATCAATGACTTGTGGCGTTACAGAGAAACTGCACACAATCATATAAATCTTGAAACGATTATTTGTGGGATGTTTTCAATTTCAAACGAGAATGTTTGCAAATAATTAGCTTTTGAATTAATGAATTTCTGAAGAGACCGGAGCTGCCATTGCTTTTCAACGACCCATTAAAAAAAAAACAATAAGAAGATAAGGGAATAAAAGAGAAGGAAAGTAAATTACACACTGGTGGGAAAAAAATTAATTCATCATCTCAGAGGGATGGTATATAATGACTTCCACTTTGTGTTGTGCCCATTATTGTTGATTTTCTTTTTCATCGTCTTCTAATTTTTTTAGTGGCAGCTTTGTCTCTTGGGAAATGTAATCCGAAAGCTAAACTAAAGTTAATTTTAAAAATTGTCAGGAAGGTCTTAGAAGTTGATTAACCTCACCATAGTGAGTGGGGGAAACACGCAATGACCAAACAATGTGATGTTTTATTTATTAACATTAATAATTAATTAAGAAAGTTATGGAAGTCATCAACTATACTATCCCAATAACATGAATTTTCCCCTCAGCGTGTAATTTACTTCTACCCCCCCCCCAAAAAAAAATGTCCTCTCTAATTATTTTAAGAATTAAAGGACATTTGCCTTTGGACTATTTCGCGGGTAGCATTAATTATTAGCATGAACTATTAGCAAAGCAATATTGCCCATTTAAGAGTCAAAATCATTAAGTATCGCCCCTGTCTCACCACATTAATGTTGACTGTTAATCTTACATTAATTTTAGATTAAAGAGAATTTTTACATTAATATAAAAACTAGTTTGGAGATTGAATTTGATCATGAGTATTATATTTAATATACTTTATATCTTATATTTATTATTTTTCTTCCAATTAATTTCTGTAACTTATAATTTAATGTTTTACAGAATGTTTGTTATAATTAACTAATTTATTTGAATTTTTTAATTAAATCAAATTAGTTAAGTGGTCTTATATTAAAGATTGGATGTATTATCAACAACAATCATAGATTGAATCATACCAAGATTTATATTTTCATGCTTTTCCTTCATATTGTAATTTTTTACTGAACATAGAGGAGGACGGACTTGTAATAAGGGGGGAAAAAATAACTCACACATGCTATATAGTTCAAGTTTTCGATTTGATGTAAAATCCTCTTCGGGTCCCTCCTTTTCAGCTTGGCAAGATTTATTGTGAGAACATTAGGAACAATTTTTTATTAATTTTTATTCTATCCATTTAGTTATACAATTTAGCATCAAAATTTCCCATCTATATCATCTCCTCTTTATATATATAATTGTCTAAATATTGAAGTCGTCTTTTCAACTAATAATCGGACGTCATGGTGGATTGTTTATTGGGTGAAGAAAGAGGGACAATTTTGTTCACAAAAGACAAATCAGCGTATGCATTAACACAAAATTGACTAACGTTACTAATAGGAGTGAAGTTCAGTAGAATAATTAGTCTCTCATAACATGGTGAACTAAATTTGAATCATCATCAAAAGAGATGTTCACATTTAATGTTCGATAATATCTCGAATAAAATTACATCCAATAAAAGAATACATATGCATAGTGAAAGAAAAAAATAAACGACTTTAATGTGTATCACTAATAGTATTGGGCCCAGTCTGTATCATAACTCTCTACTCACTAATTCTTAATTAAAATAAGAGTAAAATACTCTAACCTCCCTTGTATTTTGTCTTAATTACACAGTTTTTTTTTTATTTTAAAAACATACACTCAAATCCAAACTTTTAACTCCGTTAAGAATATTTCAAAAAGATTTTTTTTAATTCAAATTTATCTTGAAATACTTTCTATTTGCTAAATTATCCTTCATAATACTAAATTCCAAAATCTTGATTAAAACTATATCAAAGAATTTAAGATTTTATCCTTTACCTTAATTTTATTTTTTTATTTTTAAAAATTGTTGTTTGTTTATGTTTTTATCGTATTGGGCCAAAAAATTAAGTAACTTAGTTAATGCAAACATAAATTTAAATGATTTATTAAGTTTCCAAACTTGTATAATTTATATTATGTGATAAGAAAATATGCATTCAAATATTTTTTTTAGCCACTTAAAAAAATCTTAAGTTTTAATATTTGATGAGGAACTAAAATTATATAATTCTATAATATAATTGAAATTAAAAATTTTATAACATATTAAAAATCTTGAAAATACATGTATTATAATTATTTTTTGTTGTATCAAAAATTATTTTTTTATAATATAAATGTTTAAATAATATTTATGTTGGAGAGGGATATTTTGGTCAAAATAAAAATTTAAAATCAAATTTAACGGTCAACTAGTAGTTGGATGGATGAAAATTGAATCTTAAAAATATAAGGAGCTTTGTGTAACTATATTTTAATTTGAAAGGAAGTTTATATATTTTTCAAAACAGAAGAGAGGTTTCTGTAATTTAAGTAAATAGAAGAGTAGGTAATATATTTTACTCTTAAAATAATGAAATATTTATAAACAGAATTTTTACATTAATATAAAAACTAGTTGGAGATTGAATTTGATCATAAATATAAGATCTGAATATACTTTATATCTTATATCTATTATTTTTCTTCCAATTAATTTCTGTAACCTATAATTTAATGTTTTACAGAATGTTTGTTATAATTAACTAATTTATTTAAATTTTTTAATTAAATCAAATTAGTTAAGTAACTCTTATATTAAAAATTGGATGTATTAATTATCCTAATCAATAGAGTCATAGATTGAATCAAACGAGATTTATATTTTCATGCTTTTCTTTTCATATTGTAATTTTTGCTGAACATAGAGGAGGACCGACTTGTAATGAGGGGGGGGGGGAATACCTCACATGCTATATAGGCCAAGTTTTGGATTTGATGTAAAATCCTCTTCGGGTCCCTCATTTCCAACTTGACAAGATTTATTGTGAGAACATTAGGAACATTAAGAATAATTTTTTTTTAATTTTACTAACCCCTTCAGTTATACAATCTAACACCAAAATTTCCCATCCATAACATCTCCTCTTTATTTACACACTCATATATATAATATTTTCTAAATATTGAAGCCACCTTTTCAACTAATAATAGGACGTCATGGTGGATTTTTACTGGGTAAGAAAGGGGGACCATTTTATTACAGAAAACAAATAACATATGTATTAACACAAAATTGATCAACTTTATTAATAGGAGTTGGGTCAATGAAAGAGCTAATTCCTCATAACATGGTTAACTAAGATTCGAATTCCGTTGAAAGAGATGACCATATTTAATGCTTGACAATGTCTCGAATAAGATTGCTTCCAATAATAGGATACATATACATAGAATAAAGAAAGAATGACTGACTTTAATTTGCATCACTAATAATATTGGTTCCAGTCCGTATCATAACACTCTATTCACTAATCCTTAATTAAATTCAATGAAATATTTATAATTAATTTCAAAATTGCTTTTGATCTCTTTTACCCTCAATTATATATTTAACTAATTTAAATATTTTTCGTCATCTTAGAAAATGAGTTAATGTGACTTTGTAGAAAATATGGGATGGAGTACTTGAAATGAGCTGATGTTAAGTAGGCATTAGAAACATGCTCGTGTTGCTCTGCATCTGATTATCTGGGGAACTTTGTTATTTAATGTTTATTGTATTAATATTTCTCTGGTCCTAAACATAAGATTTATTTTATTATAAATTATATTATAAAATGAATCCTAGGAGTAACTAAGATGTTATTTGAATATCTAGATGTTATTTGAATATCTAGCCAAACATGGCATGATTCTGTTATTTGAAGCTACTCAATAAACCAAAATGGAGCAGAGCATCTGACTGAAGCTTCGAAATAGAATGTTATAAGATCCTCCAATCTTCCACAAATTAACAGCAAGTTACAAATTAATATCCAACACGTTAACATAATATAAATCTTATCTTACAGATTACAACACTCACATGCCTTTTCGTTTTGATTGTTACGCTTACACCTGAAATCTCAAATACAGACGCATAATATCTTTTATTTGATTTAAATCAAACTCATGATCGAACTTTAGAGTAACAATCATATATCACATTCAAGACTATTTTCATCAAAGGTTCCTTAACAACATGAGACACCCAGACACACATATAACTATTATTACAAAATGTTCTCTTCTCACAATTCACTAAATCTAAGATAACAAAAGGGCATTCAGTAGGCTACGCTATCGGAGTCCTTGACCATGCGAAACAGCAGCAAAGCTCCTTATTCCTTGAGGCAGAACTCAGTATTTGAATCAGAGGAACGATCAGAGTAGGCAAAGCTGCTATTTCACTTGCATCCCATATTGAAAAACAAACAAGATAAAACATAATCAGCTAAGAACAGAATTTTTTTAGGAAATAGAAGAAATTAAAAGGAAAAAAGAAAATACTAACAATATTTGAAAAGTTAAGGCGTAGCTAATTTATTACCTCAAGGGAGATCTGTTTTTAATATTCGACCGAATCTTTTGAACCAGAGGGTGAAGGCAACATAAAGTTGATCTTTCAAGTGATCAAACCATCGGAAAAATTTGTGTCTCCATGCTCTGATGAGGAAGAGAGAACCACAAATTCCCCAGAAGCCCGCCGCAAATCCAACCCCCATGCCAAGATACAATGACTTCAGAAAGCCGTCGTCTTCATCTCTTTCAGCTGGCTTTGAGTCGTCATGAGTTTCTTCTTTTTTGTTGCACTTCTTTGGAAGAGGATCTCCACAAAGTTCACGATTGCCAACAAAACTCCAGGAATCAAAACTTTGAATTTGGGTTCCCAGTGGAATTTGTCCGATGAGATTGTTGTATGAGAGGTTCAAACAAGCAAGAAAAGACAAATTAGATATGGTAGAAGGAATTTCTCCAGAAAGTCTGTTGTAGCTGAGATCCAGAGATTCTAAGTTTTCCAGGGCTCCAATTTCTTTAGGAATCTTTCCAGTCAAATGGTTTCGAGACAGGTTTAAGGACCACAGTAGAGTAATACTGAATAATTCTTCAGGAATTTCTCCAGATAAGCTATTAGCAGAAAGATCAATAACACCACTTCTAAAATATGGATTAGGTTGGTAGTCTAACTCCCTTCCCTTAGTAAATATGCGCATCATTTCACGAAGATTCGAAAATGAGCTGATGTTATTTGGATTTGTGATGTTGCATAAGCAAGAAGGTATAGATCCAAAAAGCTTATTATTAGCAAGCTCTAGTATCCGCAAAGAAGAGAGCATGCATATTCCTGGTGGAATATTACCCATAAATTGGTTGGTCCTTAATTAAGAACTTCCAAAGATCGTGCCATATACGGATTTGGCAAACTTCCAGAAAAATTATTTTTCTCTAAAATGAGGAATTGCAAATTTGTCCAATTAAGCATGCCTGATGAAAATTCGCAGAGAAACTATTATCACTCAAATCCAACCATTGAAGTCCCAATGAAGCAAATGAGGGAGGAACTTTACCTGTTAGCTTGTTACTTCCCAAACTAAGGATTCCAATGATTTCGATTGGTCCAACAATCGGAAGTGCTCCACTCAAATGATTATTTGACAAGTCCAATTCAAACAAGTTGCTTTCTCCGTTACCCTCTAATGGCACAACAATGAGAAAATAGATCCCGATAAGGAGTTATGTGATGCATAAAAATCAGAGACATTTGCTGATAGTGTGACACCGGATATGTCATCACTAATTAAGTTATCTGAGATATCAACATCTTCTATTCCTGCTACAAAGTTCCAAAATATATCCTTATCAATTGTTGAAATCCCTGATTTAGAAATATCTAGTCTCTAAAGACTGTTGTGTATATAGCCATGGTGGAACATTAGGACCTATGCTTGTGTTAGCCATATCCAATCTCTCAAGTTGAAATGATGGTACCCATTTAGGATCAAAGTCAAATGTGAAACTATTTGAACTTAAGTCCATTGATTTTAAACTTGAGAGACCGGCAAAAAAATTTTCTGTAAGAACACCACCAAGAAATTGTGCCCAATGTCTAATACAATTAAGATTATGGAGTGTCCAAGGTTACTGGAATATTGCCGTTCAATTGATTGTAGGACAAGTCTAAGTAGAGCAAGGAAGAAATATTTCCAAGAGACGATGGAATTATGCCATGGAACAAATTGTGATGGATGTCAAGTGTTGCAACTGTTCAAATTGGCCTAACCAATCTGGAATTGATCCTTCGAAATTATTATACCCTAAATCTAAATACTTGAGATTTTGAAGATTGAGCAAAGACTTCGGCAATTGTCCATAGAAATTGCACTTCTAAAGTTCGAGATCATAGATGTGATTGGTGATATTAAAGAATGAATCAGGTAATTTTGACTTCATCATGTCACAGTTGAAAGCAAGATCAAGAACTTCAAGTGACGTAAAATTGGCATAATCGAGGGAAGGAAAATCTCTTAATCCACACCACTCAAGTGTAACTCAGAGAGTGAAGGAAGCATGGCTATATGCTGGAGCCATTTGGTATCATTTCCAATATCACTGCACTAAGGTTAAGATATTTTAAAGAAGAAAGTTGGGAAAGCCAATGAAGGTCATTATGACTAAAACCATTATGTGAAAAGTCAAGATAAAGCAGAGCAACAGAGAAACTTGCTGAGTGATTGGAAGGAGTAACAAGTGATTGGTTGTGAAATTTGTGAGCATCAAAGGGAGGTTTGGAGATTTGGCATGGTGGCATACTCACATTTTGAAGTCATTCCCTCAAGTCCAAGTGGTTGAGAAATTCAAGTTGAAGCACACACAGATTAATCTCACCTTCTAAACCATAATAGGAAAGAGAAAGCTCTGTGACTCTTCCGGTGATGTTGTCGCAGTGAACTCCCTCCCATAAACAGCAATCTTCTTCGGCAGTCCAAGAAGGGAGTTTGTGTTGTTGGACCAACCACTCCTTGTTTGAAGATTAAAAGCAGCCTTTCATCATTTTATTGCAACTGATCACCCTGTTGAATGTTGTTGCAAATAACAGAAACAACAAAAGAAAAGATATTTGTGAAGCGAAGCTCGCCATTGTGGTAAGTGAGTTCGAGTATGATGGCCTCAATGAAGTCTTTACATTTTATATGTGTGGTGTGTGTGAATGTTTATAGACACACACGCGTATATTGGAAAATCTAAAGTAAACAAAAACTTGAATGCCTTAAAAAATTGATAACCACATGATATTTCTTATTATCAAGTCTACTAATATTTTTAAGTCTTCCCGTCTTTTCAATACAAAATCGTGTCATGAATAAGAAAATACCACAGATATAATATGTGACATATTTAGATCCTTTTAAAGTCAGCAGGCGTTAGGGAAAAACTGGAGAAAATTATGCGCAAAAATATTGAAGGCTAATAGCTCAATGATTTTATTTTATTTTTAAAATGTTTGAAAACAAAACAAATCCTACACGGGCTCCACATGGAGATTAAAGAATCATCATCACTATTTTATGACTTATAAATAAAATAACTTATGACAAATTTTGCATTTTATATTATTATTAATTATAAAAGGAGTATAAGGAGTATACAAACACGCACTCACGTAATGAACTCAAAGTGAATTAATTTTATTTATTTTTGTTTTAGTGCAGAAGTGAATAAATTAATTCAGATAATCAAAATTTGAATAAATATTTTGCTCTGAAGTTTGATTTTCTTGGATAAAAATTCGACAAAATTTTAGTATGACCGGAAAAATAAAAACCTTTTCTTATAAAATTTAATATAACCCAAAAAAATCATAATAATTCCGTTCGGACTCCAACTTTTCCTTTTTATTCTTTTAGCTTCCTTTTTTTTTGCCGTAATTCTATTTAGCTTATTTATTGCTTGCTGATTACTCCTTTCCTTCCTATTCACATGCCTTCCAAATACACGACACGTACATTCATAACAAAACTAAATGCCTTAGCTAAAATTTAATATAAATTCAGGCTTTAATAGGTTCAAAGAAAAATTGATCCTATATGCAAAATATTTGACTGGCGTCTAGATTTGGTGTGGATAGAAACAACATAGTTTCAGAAGTGCTTTTACAGATTACGAATAAATGTGAGTGCCTGTTTGCGGAAAGTGCTTTGAAACCATGGTTTCATATATGTTTTCTTGAACTGTGTTTAATTTGAATACATTATACTCCTCATGTCCTTAATATAGGACTTAATTATTAAGTTGATTTTGATCCTAAATATAAGATTTTTTTCTTATATTTATCCCTATAGATACTCCCTCAACCATAATCAAGTAAAAAAAAAAGAAGGATATTAAGAAAGATGATTACAGTGTTTTAGAAAAAACATGTTATATTTTTTTATAATTAACTAACTTACTTAACTTTTTTAATCTAATTAAATTAGTTAAATACGTCTTATATTAATAACCGGAGGAGTATAATATAGGTTTGCATGCAAAAATACTGTAGAAAGTTTGCATTCATTCATTATCTTTACTCCAAACACACCACAAAATCAGAGCTCTAAAATTCGAATTACATTGTACGTTGAAATAACAAAGCAAATGAAATTTTCAAAATGAACCTGTCATCATGATTTATTTGAGATGAATTAATTCAGTTAAGTCTTTAGTTAGATTACATGGTCACGAAGTACATATATAAGTTGTGAAAAATGAAAATCATTACAAATAAATTGTTTATGAGAAAATATTGAAAAAAAATAAAAATGGATAAAAAATCTACAACCACATTTTTTTTTATGGTCAAGTCTTCTAATACTTTCAAGTATTCCCATCTTTCCAAAAAAAAATTGAAATATTAATACATCTATTTTCATATCATTTTCCATTCATATTCAATTTCCGCAACCAAATTGTTTAAACATTTCAAAGATAAAAGTCCCTTAAGCAATAAATTACACAATTTTTTTCCATCCAATTAGGGGTTTTCATCGAATGCAACCTTGAGCCTTTAAAATAAGAAAAATATCCTATGATTTATTATTTGGACCTTTTATGTTCAATTCATACCATAACAACGTGACATGTGTTGTTATAGAGAAACTGCACACAATCATATAAATCTTGAAACGATTGTTTTGGGGATGTTTTTAATTTCGAACGAGAGTGTTTGCAAATAATTCACACATAAGGAAATTTTTTTTTATTATTTTAGCTATAAAATGATCAAATTAATGTATTCTCTATATCTTGATTTCAGCTATATATATAAATATATATAATATCTTGAAATAAATATTCGTTTTTGCATCATAAAGTCTGTTTTAAGTAGAAAGTTTTTGGAGCTAAGACGCGGATAGAAAATTTGCAAATCTTTGAGTGTGACCTAAAATTTAAGTTTACATCTACTTTTCAAAAAAAAAAATTGCATATAACTTTTCCAAACATCAAAGATTTAAAAAAATACAACAGAGAAGACACAATTAGATTATAAGGTCATCCAACAGGATTGGGTTTAGCAGAAGAAGCTAGTCCTTCAAAACGTGACAAACTAATGTTCAAATCTCTGTTGAGAGAAGGTCTACATTTAGTGGCAGACAGTGCCTTAAATAGGATTATCTCTAATAAGAGGATACTTATGCATCCAAAAAAAAAGATTGTAGGTTTAGATTAATAAATTTAAAATGTTTACATTATGACAAATGGTGAAATTAAGTATTTTGGAATTTTTAATGAAATATTCTTGAAGGCATTAAAAATTGGACTAGAGAGTGTTTCTTTTGAAAATAGAGGTGACCTTTAGTAAATTAGTGAAAGGATGTCATTGTATTTTTTTTTCCATGAAATAAGGATATCTCCAAGTCACATTAAACTTGAGTCTAATCCCTTTCGGACCTCAAACGGTTAAGGAATTAGCCTCTCAACAAATGCGCTTTCCGAGATTTGAACTTGTGTTCTTCTTCTTACAGAGGTGAGGCTGCTATCACCTCAACCAACAGCTTGTTGATGATGTTATTGTATTTTACTTTTATTTAACATTTTTTCGCGGTAAAAAGGTGATTGAAAAATTAAAGAAAAAAAGAATGTATGTGACATGAAGAGATTGTCTTGTCCACATAACACTTTTAAAGTCTTCGCTTCAAATTATACTCAGTTTCAGTCCTTTACTCATTAATAATTTTACCGGAGCTTTCACTCTTATCATCTCTTTCAATTTTCTTTGGCAAAAGATTTTTTTATCATCTCTTATCATCTATCATATATTCAGATCCTTCTAAAGTTAGTAGGTGTTAGGGAAAAACTGGAGACAATTATGTATGAAAATATTGAAGGCCAGTGGCTCGGTATTTTTTTTATTTTAAAAATGTTTGCAAACAAAACAAATCCTATATGGGCTCCATGAGTGGCATGCAACTTAATAGAATAATCAGTACTATTTTATGACTTAAAAATAAAATGAATTAGTATAAATTTTGTTTTTAATTAATAAAGGAGTACACTTACCCAAGTATTGAGTCAGAGTGAATTAATTTTATTCAATTTTATTTTGGTCCGGAAATGAATAAATTAATTCATATCATTGAAATTTGAATAAATATTTGTGCTCCGAAATTTGACTTTTATAAATAAAATTTGGACAAAATTTTAGTAAATGTGAGTAACCGGCGGGTTGGGCAGCCTAGGGGTCATCCCGTAGCCCGCCCATTTAACTCTAAACAGGTACGAGCGAGTCCCGTTAAAAACTCATTTAAGCATTCATTTTGATATTATTTTCTGTTACACAAACACATAAATGTCTAAAAAATCTATAACCATATATTTTTTTTATGGTCAAGTCTTCTAATACTTCCAACTCTTCCCATCTTTTAGAGGAATAAATATTAATGCATTCATTTTCATATTATTTTTCACTACACAAATATTTAAATGTCTAAAAAATCTATAGCCATAAATATATATACATATATATTTTAATGGTCAAGTCTTCTAATACTTCCAAGTCTTCTCATCTTTTAGAGAGAAAAAATTAGAATATTAATACATTCATTTTCATATCATTTTTCATTACACAAACATTTAAATGTCTAAAAAATCTATAACCATATTTTTTTTTATGGTCAAATTTTCTAATACTTGCAAGTTTTCCAATCTTTTAGCAGAAAAATTG